TTCAGCTATTTTTTTATCATGTAATTTTGAAAGAAAAGATTTTTTAAGCCTGTCATAGTATTTAATTAATATTCGTATTTGACCTTCAGGTATTATTTTTTAAGATTTTACTACTGGGAACATATTTGTCTTATAGTGCTGAAAATGACTTCACAATTTCTTGGTGAAGATGAAATGTTTAAATATTTCTTTACCTTACAGACAATACCAAGATTTCCTTGAAGATCTTGAAGAAGATGAGGCAATTAGAAAGAATGTCAACATCTACAGAGGTTGGTGTTTTAGGAGTGTTTGATTTAAGTCATATATTCTGTATATAAATATAGTACCTAGTACCAGTATTTTGGTATCTTAAACTTTGATTCCCATAAAAGACTTTGTTAAATTACCCTAGTTAAACTTTTATAAAAAAATACTTGTAGAACAGTGAAACTTATTAAAATGCTGTTTGCTATACCACATTTGATATCATTTGCATCCTACCTTGATCACTCAAGTTGCTCATCCCTATACTGGTGGAAATTTATTCATGCATTTATTCAGTTCATTCATTCAATAAATATAATTTGAATTCCTGCTCTAAAATAAGGTATAAGAGCTTCTAATACAACATAGTTAAATAATAGTAACGATAGTGGGGGGCAGGTATTTGTAGATTTTCAAATACACATTTAATACTTTGTATACATATAAATACTTTGTGTTTATTTGGAATCCTCTTTGTATTTTTCTTAGATTCAGCCATCCCTGTGGAAAGTGACACAGATGATGAAGGAGCACCTCGAATTAGTCTGGCTGAGATGCTTGAAGACCTTCATATTGGCCAGGATGCCACTGGTGAAGAAGGTGCACCAATGATGACATAATGAGATCAAGTTGTAGACAGTTTCCACATGTGTAGGCTCGGGAAGTTGGACGAAGTAGATGTACTGTCTCTTCCATCTATGCCTCCTTATTGTGAGAAGAGAAATTTAGTTTTAAGCCTGAATAAATATGACTATTTTGATTGTTTACTCAAAGCACCGAAAAAGATTAATGGCTTTGAACTTTAAATAGTAAAAGATTATGGAAGGTGTAATTATTACTGATATTTAGTCCATTTTACGTATGGAATTACATCACTCTGCTTTTTTATATGACGCACTGTAGCATTTTCACATATTATAGTGCTGGATATCAAAGCTCAAAAGTAAAAAAAAAATGCTCAAAAGTTGTGATTCCTTGGATGTTAACTAAATCTTCAAGCATAAAACAAGTTTTTACATTCTTTTTACATTGATTGCTTTAGTAAAAGCACATATGAAGAATTGTTTTTAATTTTAACTTGCTACACACTTTCATCCACTTTAGATCATTTTTATGTCCTTGGGGTAGAGAAATTACAGTTCAACGTATCACCAGACATT